ATTTTTTATCCACAGTCTTCCTACGAACAGAATGTAGAAACGGTTCTATCAATATTGAAAATTATAACTTTGGTTCTTTGTGAACCTGTTCGTGCAGTAACAGGAGCTCAGTCAAAGCAGTTTAAAATAACCACTAGCCTTCTTCATCCTGCTATATAAAAACACAATGTCTTTGATAAGCCAGTTACATTTACGGAACATTTTTTGAATTTTCTGTACTTGGAAATACAAGAATGTGATACATCTGGCTTAATTTTAAAAAACGTCTTCAAAATTGTTGCTAAAAGCCAAAGCAGCTTTTCATATAAGAAACCTTAAGCAATATTACAATTCTATGTTACAGCATGATAAACTTCATAAATACTGTAAATGTGCTCCATTGGTTTTTTTGTGGTCCATATATATAGTAAACCAGTATGTACTACAATGCATGAAGATGACATCATTAACATGACACTTGCTATTATATGTAATTCATCATGGCCACAAGCAGATAAGAAAATAAGGGACTGATTTGCAATGGAAAAATGGAGGAACTGTGATGGCAGACTGCAGGCTTTGTGAATGATTGTGTGAATTCTAATTAAGCAACTGTGCACAGATTGTATATGTTAGTGCTGGCAGTCATGTGCTGAGAAAACTGTGTTTCAAATTCCAGGAGAGCTGATTAGTAGAGAGAGAAAAAAGAACAAAATTGATTTATTAAAGTACTTCTTTATGTATTCTCCAGAATACAAATGTCTCTAAACATTCATCATGGGCCTTGAAAGAAAACAGTTCCAAAATGCATTTATGGGACTTAAAAATATTTTAAAATAAAATCTAAATAAATAATGTTAAAAAGACAATGTAGAACTTTCTTTGTGTATCAGACTATTACAAAATCTACGAAACAGGAGCCGAGAAGATCATAAAATAGAACAGTAGAATAATTAAAGCAATCCTGACATCAGCTGAAGTTGACATGTACTAACCTGTCTCCTTGCGATTCGTCTTTACCATCAACAAACTGAACTTGATCCTTTTCCACTCTGCCCAGAACTAAGACTCGCTTTTCTGTGTCAATCACACACTGAAAGAA